AATAAATATTGAAGAGCTGAAACAGAGAACACCTCCAGGAGCATCAGGGAAAATGATGACAGTAGCAAAGTTCATAGCCAGAGACTGATGTTACAAATCTGTTAAGGAAAAATACGTTTGAAAAATACCATGCTCAAAAATAACCARCTTGCTTTATCTCTGTCATGGTAACATTCAAACACTATCAGATTGACTCAGGTCATAGATCTTTTAMAACTTTTCACTTTTCGAAGGTGTACATATTTGGTATTTTGGGCATGAAGTTAAGTTTCTGCACACGAAGAGAGCTTCTGACTTTCCTTGTCCTCCCTGGAACCTATACTCTGAAGTTCACTTAATAGCCTTTAGGAATATGTTAGCTTTGGGCTTTCTAATTGGTAATGAAATTACCTGAAGCCAACTATACAGAGAAGAACTCTGTTAAGCCTAAACACTTTCTGTCCTGAATCTGGAAGGCAAGCTGATTGTTACTGATTTATGCATCATATCYGGTAATATTGTTTCTCAGGGTCAATCTTATGCAACAAATAAAATCTGCCAATACCTGAACCATGTCTCTTCTTCTAGGATTCCCCTAGGAGGAAATCCAAATCCCATGTACTGTAGATCTGCCCTAGAGAAATAATTATTGTTCTGCTAGGTTGCTGTAAGCAACACATCTTATCAAAGGCAAGGAAAAAGATTGCAATTGCCACATGAATAGTTGGAAGTCCAGTTTACTAGCAGTACATGTCTTGAAATTGCATGGAACCACATGTATTTWGAAATCTGTGTCAAAATGCATTTTGGGCTCATATAAAGGGAATATTTTGTGTAGGGTCTGATGCACAGTGGATATGAAAGGCAAGTGCAAGACAGGAGCCCAAGAGAGAACCAGAGGCTTGCTGCCAACTGTATCAGAAAAGCAGGTAAAAGACTTGGAAGAAGAAAAGGCTATAGATCCACTTTCAGGCAGGGTAAATATTTAGATAGGTTTTATTTGTTTTAAAGCTGTATGGTTTGACTTCCTCTGCTGAACTTCAAAGACCCAACTGTGATTGTAAATGGGGCTTAAAAMGGCTTCCATTTTAAGGAGGAATTTTGTCTTTTTGTATTAGAACAGTTTGAAATGTGTGTGTGTTCACATTTTATTCAGCCATCATATTTTTTTGAACTAGAAGCCTTTAAGGTGCTAATGGTATTTGCATGCACATTGCATTTGCAAATGGCCTGTGACTTTGAAGCTTTCATAGCTGTGAAGACAATGTGGTTCTGAATCAAAGTTTTTCTGTTCTGCTTTTCTGTTCCAAGACTTGCTGGAGTAGCCTTTGCACTTGCTTTATCTCCTGAGATTCTATGGTAATCTGGCAGCTGGATTCAAATTTCTTTTTATTTSTGTTTCTGATGGCTGTTATTCAGTGCAAGCATCTTCAAAAATGTGCTGCTTCTATACCCTGAAAAACATGAACCCCCAGGGGAATGCACATGTATGAGATGAAATTCTCTCTGCAAGGAAGTCAAACAGGCTTCCTGCCTTAGGTGGCAACATGGTTGTGTAGCAAGAATCTTCTGCAGTGTGTAGCCATCTGCACACTGTGCAGTATGTAGTTGCTAAAGTCTTGAACATCTGAGATGAAAATGGAAATGAAGATCTCGTCTTTATGTTGTGTAGTTTTAATGGGAAGGTCCATATTGCCTCTGGTGAGCAGTTGCAGCAGGGTTCACAGGAGTGGAAATCAGGTAAGTTACTACTGTGCTTTCCCTTTTCCCCACTGAGATTTGCATTCTACCCCAGTGCTCCACTCCTTCCCCCCTCCTCGTTTCAATAATACGAAGATGTTCAAATCATCAAATTTTTTTCCTTTGCTATGGAAAACTCCACCACAATTTACTCCTTTTATTCTAAAATGAGTTCTATTTTGTAAATCTATTTAAAAGGCATTAACACCTGACTCTTTAATTTTGCAGTACTTATTGCCAGCATGTGCTGCTGCTTGGGCTTCATGTTTATCTGATGCCTTGGTCATGCTACAGAAAATGTTGCATCTGTTCATTTCTGGCTGAGATTGTTCATTTCCTTCTATTCAGATGCTGACTTTTCAAGTCTTAACATATTGTTTACTTTGCTTTTTTCATTCACAGCCATGTTTATAACACAAAGGCAGGCGAGGTTTCCTGAGAAGAGTTGTGCAGGGAAACAAAGTACTGTTATTTCTGAGGGTGTGGAAAGTATTCTTTATCTATTACACTATTATGCACCTAATGCTGAGGAAATACTAGTATAAATGTGCCTAAACTGGTCCTCTTAATGGTACCGAGAATGTTAGAATTTGCATCCAAGACATACATGAGCATTCTGAGAGGCGATCAGTAATCATTGTTGATTTAAGCTGCTGGGTTATTCCCATTCCTTACCTTAGAGACAACTTTTGAAGGAAGTTGTGGTTGGCAAAGAGAGAAATATTATATGTGTCCTGTCTAGCTTAGTCCTGTATGGATTTGTCTAATATTCGATTCAACTATACAAAGACACACCATGGCTAAAAATACTTACCTACTAGTTTCTCCCCTGAGACTATGCTAGTAGATTTTGCAAACAGAGGCACTAACACTCACAGAAAATAATTTAAAATATTTGTTTAACAAGTTAGAAGTGCAAAATAGAAGACAAAAAATCCAATCTGCTAATGGATGGGCACTGCATTTTTGTTTCCTGGATAATCTTGGGCTATTTTTAATAGCGGTTTGAAAAAAAAGGCTTTTAAAATTGTGGATGTTTTAAAGAAGCATTTCTTTATGCAATAACAATTGTAATGAGCAGAAAAAGAGCAGCTGTTACTGGAAGTTACAGTTAATTGTTGTATTTTCCAGGACAAGATTGTTTGGTGAGAACAGTGGGGGAATAAAAGGCAAGCAACTTCCAAAAAAAACAAACATGTGAGGTGAAGCTTGAATTTGCTCTCATGAGAACTTTCTAAGATTCATAAGTAACTGAGACAAGCATGCTGTATTTRAATTTCTAGAGATGTATTGTGCTGTATAGAGTTGGAGCACAGCACACAGTGTTGGCAGGAGAAGGAAAGGAGAACAGAAACTCACAAAGACTGATAGGAGGGTATTGCTCTTCAGGATGGATAGAGGATAAAATGCCTGCTGCCACTTCATATGCTTTTGCTGGGTTTGTTTATTTTCTTTTTATCATGTGCTTTTTAAATGAAACAAGTAAAGCATGTTCCTGTTACAATTCTGTAGAGGAGAAGATGGATAAATTAGYTAGGGGCATTTTGTAAGCCCTGCAGGCCAAATCTGATGTGATATATGTATGCCTAAAAACAATCTCTGAAGAGGGACTTCAGCAGAATACCCCACCTGGGCTCTGGCTATTGTTAGAGCAATGGGGAAGCTGTGACAGAAAGTGTCCCTGGGCAGGCTGCAGGCAGGAAGGGGAGAAGGGCCAGGGCAGGAGTCCTGAGTCTCTGGTTGTGTGGGTGCACCCTGGCCTGGCGCTGCCCATGGCTCTTCTCTGGCACTACTGTGGAGMCACAGAACTTGCCACAGGGACTGTGCTCTGGGAATGCAGCTCGTTAGTCAATCTGTTCTTCCAGCACAAGGCTATAAAACATTGTAGATCATAACAGGGAGCTCTTTATTTCTTAAGTCCTTAGGTGCCAGAGGGGAGATTTCTTTTATATATACATATAAATAGCACTGAAATGCATTTATTAGGGATTGACTGCTTTTATTTTGAAACACAATATTTGAACATCCAGATCCACAAATAAAACTCCAAGAAAGTACGGTATCCATCATACTCTGAGCTTGGTTCTCTGATCACTTATCCTTGCCTGTATTGCCACCCATTGTGAATCATTTCACTGACTTCAATGAAACAACTTTCAGGAGCCAACCTTTCACTCAGTACTATTTTCAGCTTTCCAAATTACTCCAGTATTAAGTTTGGCTCTGAAGAACAAACATATTGGTCCCAAAAAGAACCTGCCCAAAATGAAAATTGAGCAATGCCCTGAAATTAATTTCTTCCAACATCAAAATCATCAAGACTGATTACTATTAACTCATCTTAAACTATTAACTCTATTAAAACATCTTCATCTAGAAAATCTTGTTGCCAACTGGATTATGTTATGTTATATATTAGTTTAACGTAAGTGCGACCACTGAATATCAGTCAATATTAGAAAGTTGCATAGTTCATGCAAAGTCAAAATGCTTTTTCATTTTTTATAAAACAGAAAATGTCTGTCAAAGTTTATGGATTGAGGTGACTGCTATTGTTCGCATTGCATTATGGAGATACTGGTCATGGTTCTGTAGTAAAGAGTCAGTTGAAGTTTGTCCTGAAAGCAGGAGTTCATTCCTTGAAATTTAAATTGTCAGATCTGAGAGAGGTTTATAATACCTTGTTTCTGAATGAAATTCTGCCTTTTGCAATTCCAGAATGAATTGTGGCATTTATACCATGCATCTCCAAAGAATTTACAAAAATATTGAATGAGTAATTAAAGTTTAAAAATAATTTCTTTAAGCAAACAAAATTGACAACAACTTGAGAGCATATATAAGATATTGTTATGCTCTCACACTAGTGTGTCACTGCTTAGGATTTGCATGTTAACTTCAGACAAGTAAATGTCACTCATACAGAAATTCTGTGCATAGGAATGGCATAAGGAGGAGAAACAAGTTTTCATGCTGATTTACAGGCAGAACATGTTGTGATCAAAAGGATTTTGAAAAGTGAATAACTTTATGTGCCTTGGCCAATGCACAGGCACACAGTAAGTGTGGGCTTGTTCCTGAGTAGGCTGTATAAATAAACTATCCCTTTCTCATTCCTGACCTGTATTCTTTTCCCCATGGTTTCCACGGTGGATTAAAGGAAGCAATATTGTGATGCATATGGAGCCTACTGACTATGCAAAATTCTAAGACAGATGATAACCTGCCCCTACCATTTTGGATAAAACTGGTTACTTCAGGTTAATTAGCTGCCTATTTTTACTTTCTGCGCAGATATCATTTTAGTTGTTGGTGTCACTGGAAGAGTAAATGTTTTTCAGGCCCGAGGGCAGCCCTCAAACTGTTTCTGCCTCTGTAATCTCTCTGCAGACAGAAGGTTGGCAGCCACCTGGGAGTGCTCCTGCCCCAGGGATCACCAAGGGATGGGGCAAACAAAGGATCAGTTTGCAATTATTTTTACACCCCATCTTGGTTTATGTGGTGCAATTTATCAATATGCAGAGCAGATGATCTAGATTGTRTCAATAAATGGTCTACAATTATGACTAATTTTTACTTTTTACTCTTCATTCTTCTCTGCTTGGATTGAGAACTGTTTCTGTAAGCCATCCCTTCTTGTTCCTGAGACTCTCCAGCCACTGATAAAAGGATGCAGTCAAATATGCATGGATACAGCAGAGACACAACTGAATCAAATGAGCATTTTGCACAGGGCTGATATGTCTCTGGGTAGCCTGAGTTCATTACAGTTATGTGAGTTTTCTTAGAAACTTAATTAAAATTGGGACTATACTCCCCAAGTATACTGCAATATCTGACTTTAAGCTGCAGCAAGCAAAGCTTTGCTTGACCTGCTGTTTCTGCCCCTTTGCTGCCATGAATTTGGCACAGCATCCCAGGGAGTGGGATCAAGACAAGCAGTGACAAAGGCCTGATCTGCCCAAGTGCTGAGGCAGGTTCTGACCACAGTGTTTTGTAAACCTCCTCTGTAGATACCTCACAGAAGTGCACAGGCTATTAGTAACAACATGAAGGGTTCCTCACTTCAGGAGTGAAATCAGGAATGTAGTGTGGAATTTGAGAGAGCAGAGTTACAGGAATCCAAAGGGAAGAGCACCCTCAAATGAGAGAACTAAAACTGGTGCTCTAAAGTTTACCCATGAAAGTAGCTCAGGAGCACTGCTGAATCGGATGTCTGTTTATTCATGATCACCACCACCAACCATATATAGATGTATACATAACAGAAATAAACTTTGATTTAACTGGACACATTCAATTCATAATGATTAAGCAGAAATAATTTCATTTTCAAGGCTGGATATTTAGGAAGTGGTATATGTCCAACCATTTCTCCTTAGTGAGAGAACTCAGAACTCTGATGTGGATATGGCCTTCCTTGGGGAATTCAGATTTAGGACTACATCTGAGACCAGTTTCTAATTTTAATTACTRCTACCAAATTAAAAATTGCTCCCACAATGCAGATGAAATCCACCTATGTAAATCAKCAGCAGCAGAACTCTTTAAAGCTTATTCAGACATAGACTTTGTGCTGAACACTGCGCAGCATAAGCCTCTTGCTGGGCCATCTCCACAGGAATGAATTGCATCCAGAAAGCACAGCGGAAGAGGTTCAGATCAGAATTCTACATAAGGCTTTTAATATTGGGTAGCATAAAGGTCAAGTAAATAGTCTAAAAATAACTAAGCATTAGTGCTACTAAGACTTTGTGCGGAAGTTACCCTCTGTCTCTTTGGTGCTGATCTTACAACAGTTTTTTACTTTTATGATCATATATTGAGTTACTAAACCTAATCACTGAGGAGTTGATTTCTTGCTGTTCAATAGTGGCTCCACAAAATTTAATAAGTTGTTTTAAACTGTTTCAGTTGGCATTTAGCCAATTTGAGTATTGTTTCAAATGTTTAGACAAGCCATTGTTATGATGTGAGTGATGCTCTTGCAAGTTAGTTCAGCACAGAACCCATTTACTAGCTATGCATGCAGTTTTGTGTCAATATCTACTATTTTCAGTTAATTAGGCAACGTGATTAAGATCACATGAGTCAAATTAACAGGTCAGTGCATCATCTCACTTCAACTGCATCTAGGAGATATTGATCTAAAAGCCATGAAAAGAACAATTTAGGCTTCCCATACTCAAGATACCAATTTTGGATGTGATCAGTCCAGTGTTTTGTGGAAAGATTTCAATTTGAGGTTCTATACAGAATTTCTGCTTTGAAAGGTGTATTTCTAATTGAGGCATACGGGTTTCATACAGTGGTCCAAACAACCATTTGCATAAAAAGTGTTCAACAAAATGATGTAGAAAATTCTTCACTTCTTACGCCATATTGGTCAATTCATATTTAGCATGAGCTTCATTTTCCTCTCCTGGCTGATGATCCGAGTGATGAATTTCAATGAAAATTACATAGATCATTGCTCCAAGTACAGCTCCCAGCAGAGGTGCAACTATAGGAACCCACCACCAATTATTACCAGCTCTGAAAGACAAAAACAACAAGAATTAGTGTTTTGTTACTCTAGTGAACACCTTCCTGTGAATTTGCCAGTGAACAGATCCAGTGGTGTGACACTTGCTATAGTGGAGACCTTTCTATTTTGTCTCACATTTCTGCAGATGGGTGACGCCCCTGTCTGCCCTGCCCAGGCTGGTTCTGATTGAAATGCTAAATAACAAGCACCAGGCATGTTGGTCTATGTGCTGTACTTGCATTTTAGAAAATAAGGCCTTTTTACTGCATGTCTATTTGGGACAGAGGATAATTTCTCCCTTGTGAAAAGCGGATTTCGCTGACTTACAATGAAATGAACAGGGACATATTTATTGCTCAGCAATCTTGACTTGTGCTGTCCCCAGATGCTCATGAATAGATTGTCAGGAGTGGTCTAAGCAAATGTATGTTACAAAAGTGAATTATCTCATCTGCATGGAAACTTGCAAGTTTGCATCTGCAACAGTATATGCAGTATTCCTCTTGACAAATGCAATAGATTAAACTGGATTTTGAGTATATTTGCCTTAAGCAAGGTAATAAAACACAGTGACTTTAAAGATAATTATTCTTGACTAGTGTGGTCAAGATTCAAATTTCATGATGTAGTAWCTTATCTCTGTGTTTAAAATGTGGTCTTTCAAGAAGAGGCAAATGTGTGCTTAGAAGTTTTGTACACCTAAAACTTAATCCTAGAATTGTTGTCTTCACTAAGAAAGTCCAACATGTTGAGTCCACTGAAATGTTTACATTTGCACAATTCTGATGATTTAATTTAAAATCTGTTGATTTACAAACATATTTAAAGTAAGAAATCCACCATTGAACTGTATGAAGTAAATAACTRTCTATATGCAGGAAGATTGGCCTGGTAGAATTGCTCTCCTTTTCCTTCAGGTGCACATTCAGACAGTAAGTAACTGAGTAATGGTTTCAGAGCACAGACTCTTAAGTGTGCATTAAGGTGTTTTGATTTGATAACATGCTGTATTAATTGAACATGTAAGTCTCCAGTGAAAACTCAGCTACCTCAATTTCACGCATATTGAAAATGGAGATTTTTTTTCTCCCAGAAATACAAAGGGACAAATTAATGTTTGAGAAGAACGTCACAGGTAGCTACAGGGGAATTTTTAAACTGTAAAGGTAATTATTCAGCACCCAGTTGTATAGATTTACTCAGAAGTGAACTTTTGGTTGTTACAATGCAAGAACACAACTGGGAAAATATTGGTGCTCTGTTGACGATACTGTTATTGATTGTTCAAAAATACCTTGGATGCATATGTTTATACCCTTGGATGGACTTACTCCTAATTTGCCCTGAGGTTATAAAATAACTCYTGATATTGTTCCACTGAGTTTATAAATCTGTTTGTTGTTGAATCATGGACAGCTGTTGAGCCCTTGAATTGCTGGAACAAGCATGAACTAAGTTTTATTGAACTAATCAGCAGAACAAAAGCTACATCAAGTACTTGCATGCATTCTGTGTGATGTGTGTATATATGGGTGCGTAATGAAGGTGTTTCTTGGCAGGGTTCTCTCAGCTTGTTTCATGAACTGCCAGGTTCTTTGTCAGCCCCTGCATGACCTTCTGCAAATCATGGCCTGTATTTGAGCAGCTGCTGTCAGCTGTGCTGTGGACACCCTGTGCTGAGATGATGGGTGTAAAGCCTTTGTAGAGGGTGCTGCCAAAACTGCAATGAGATCAGGACACAGCCGAGTTAGGAGTTTCCAAGACACTCAGTGCTCTGTCATTGGCATAGGAGCAAGAACTCTCTGTGACAAGCACAGATCACTTCACTCAGGGACCCTTAGTGCCCTTGGCCCCTGGCTGTAAGCTAGCGCACGGCTTTGCTGCCAGACAGCAGGAAAACACCCAGCTCTGTCTCTGCCATCGCCGGTGCCCTGGGCACTGTTTTTGCGGGGAGGAGGCAGCACACGGGCCCGGCCAGCAGAACTGTGCTTAGCTCCGAGAATCCCCAGGAAATTACAGTGTCTAAGCTACGTGGCCTGGGAATTTCGGCCTATTTAAACTTGTAGATACACCTCTCAYTGGCCAGCTGCTAAGGGAAAGGGAGATACCGCTGTACGTGAGGTAATCCGGGCTGCAGTGCTGCGCTCCAGGAACAATGCTAAATACTTCTGAGGCCGCTTTGCCGTCCGAGTCCCTGTGCAAACAGGAGATGCGTATCCTGACCTTTCCCCACGTGCAATTCAGTGCTGCCGGCTCGTCCCCGGTGCCGCGGGGAGCGGGCGGCCACGAGGTGTCAGCGTTACCGCGCCGAGCCCGCTCCGCTCCGCTCCGCCGCTCGCGGGGTGTCCCCGGCTCCCTTCAAATGCCGGCACTAATACTGCTCTGGTGAGCCCTTCCTCTTGCTCTGGCTCACTAGTTCCTGCACATGCCTTTACCATGCCTGTCTCAAGGCTGTGAATTCCATTTAAATGAAGATATCCAAGGTTTATCTGTCAACTGTTTCTGCGTCATTTTAGGTCGTTCAAGCACAGCAGAGCATCAGGCCATTCACTATCCGAGCTACAATCATTCAGGCTTTTCCCATGGCTCTTCCAGCTATCTAACAGGGCTCAATTTCTTCTTAAGTCTCACCTAGATCTGCACAGTAAATAAATCAGAACGCATTCCTGTTGTATCATTCCCTTGAACTCAGTTGTWGCTGTAACCTTTTAACAGAAGGCAGGGGGGAAGACTTTTTCCTCAATTTATACATCCCTGAAATTGGTGTAAGTTTATTCTGGCAAGGATCAGACATCTTGTACCTCATTTCTTGTGTTCGCATTTTCAAATTTCTTAGCAAGGTCTTTCAAGTGGGACTGCATTCCCTCTCTGCATATAAATCCTTAAGCTATATTAGGAAAGAGTCTATATTGGTATAGATGTAGAACTTTCTTGTCTTTTTTAATGTAAAGAGTACGACCATAGTTTTGGAGAGAAGGGGAGTTTGCAGGTGTTCTATGACTAGATCCCAGTAYGGTCAGGCTTCTAAACTCTGTCAGTAATGTACTAGCCAACTTCATAATGTTGCAGATTATAGAATGACACCATGGCTAATACGACAGTCAGCAGCTACTTGTAATTACAAAGGCATGAAAGAGGAGAATCCTGAGTGTGGGATGTCACTCTGTGTCCTTGTTTTTAAAAAAGTGCAGTCTCATGGTGCAGTGGTAAGAGCTACTAGGCATGGATAGTTTGGAGATAACCAGAGCAGTGACCTGATCTCCCAGTGACGGCTCACCATAGCCGGCTTACATCCAGCCTYGGCTCTGGCCTGTGGTGTGGCTGGATGCCTGTTTCAGCTGTGCTATGCTTGACATTTTTGTATGAGAAAAGCTTTGAGACTGCTTTCCTCTAATAAGGTACATGATTTGTGTAAACAGAAATAATACTGAATAAATAGAGATTATTTGTGCTTACTGAAGGAGCTAAAATAAAATCTCCATTAACCAGAGCTCTCCAGTGGCCTACAGTACTACTGGGGATTCCTACTTGTAAATAAGTGGAAAAACAAACTATACAAAAATAAACCAAAATATTTCTTCTCGATGACAGATTACTCTTACTTAGATATCCCAGAGCGCCTCTTTCACTGGATATGTGTAAGCTGTGGATTTGATGTGCAAATGATTAGCTGTGCGTTGGGCCAGCCAAGAGCGTGTGCATGCACACTTGGGGACTCGAGAGGGCTCTGAAATGTGGGAAAATGAAGGGAGCTTTTCCACTCACTCTTTCACTCCCAGCCAGGAAGTCAGGGTTTTAATATTGTTGTATATTTCTGYGATAACTCAGCAGTAATAATAGGCTAAATCAATCTGATATGTCTCTCTTTTCTAGAGCACCCAATAAATATTTCCACCTAATTCTCTCCTGATTTAATTTTTTTTCCTGAAAACTGCAGGACACAAGAAAAAAGCACTCCTATTTTCAGTGACCTCTAAGAATCTCTAATATTTTGGGAAAGGTCTGCTTGAAACAATGATTGATATTAGAGCTTATGCATGTTTGATTTGCCCTAGGAACAGGAAATCCTTTTTAAAGCCCAGTTCCTAAAGGATATGTGGCTTAAAGTGCATGAATACCTGCTTCTGGTATGCAAAGAATTACCTGTATGTATATAAAGTATGACTTGGTACCATGTTGAATCAGGATCTTACTTTCTGAGAAACAATTTTAGCCAGGAGCATTTGACTTCATCTCCAGGCATACTTACGTGAATACTTCCATCCCCCATCCTGCAACAGCGGTGAAGAGCCTTGGGCCGAGATCCCTGGCCGGGTTCATGGCACAGCCACTGTTCATTCCCAAGGAGCAAGTAAGAACAATTATAAGAAGTCCTATTGCAATTGGCTCCAGGCCCTTGGGTACGCTGTTATTTTTGGTGTCAAAAATAGCAAAAATAGCCAGAAGAAGAAAAGCTGTTGACATCACCTGGGCAAGGCAAAGAAAAGAATATTGAATAAATATGTGTAGATTCTTTCCAATAATGAAAAGAGGGCTATGGCAGCTTTGTGGATTGGAGTGGCTTAGAGCTGGTATTTAGTTTTATCCCACTATTCAGAGTAGCAATGTAGTAGCAGAGCCTCTCTGCTTCACAGTAATGAGAAGTTTTGRTATCTGTGCTGAAAGACAAAGATAAGAAATGTGCTGAGGACATTTGAAAAAAAAAAAAACAAACCTGCAGCAACCACGTGTGGAAAGAACAGAGTATTTAAAAGACATCTCTTGTGTGAGGTCTAATGCTTTGTTTCCACATTTTTTTCCTATCTGTTTTACACTTCTGTTCACTCAATTTTTGGTAGTTCTGCTGCTGTAGCAGTGCAATCAGTTYCATTGATACAGAAGTGTTTTATGTGATTGTAGTTCATGCTGATAGACTAGATATGCATCCCTTTATCCAGGCATTGCATAACATCAGAAGAAAAAGTGAAATCTGTAAAGTCAAAGCTRAGCAGCTAAACTTAGGGTTGCACGTATAACTGTAACATGAACTCTGTATTGCATATGCTAATTGAGTTCATGAAGGAAATTTTCTTGGATTTACTTCAATGCAAGTACAGCTCTGCTTAAATCAAATGCTTTGTCTATGTTGGTTTTGCTAATAATTAACTTGATGGGAAAACAGACAAAAGCTTCAGCAATGTCAAAACTTTCAATTTCTRTACTGATTTGAAGAAGCTTAAGTTTGAGGGTTTTAAAACTTTTTTGTTTTTCATGTGCTTTTAGGTTTGTTTTAAAATATGCCTGATAAATAGATCTTTGGGAAAAATCTGTTGACTGATCCAAAGATCAGAACTGTCTTTCTTTCAAAACTTCAAAATAATGTTTATATTTTTTTGAAGACAGATTGCTCAGTCTTTTAAATAACGAATTCCTGTGTTCAGACCATCCCTTGTTTTTCACTCCTTACTTATGCTGTATTTGTTTCATTATTCCTGAAGAAGAAGGGTAAGTTGATTAGAAGTAGATAAAAGATAATGAAACTTCATTTTTCTGCTGTTACACAAATGGGATTAAAGGATACAGATTAAAAATGAGGTTGAGATTTTTTCAGATTCAGTCATTCAAAAAATAAATACTACAAATCTCTTTGCAAACAGGTTAGAGAGGAGGCTTGTGGAAGCAGAAAACKGAGTTGTTCAGGGTGTGTTAAACTGTCTGCTTAAGCATTATTAAAGGAATAATAAGTCCACCAAATGGGTGGATTTTGACGTAAATGATCATGACGCTGCTGAGATTTATGGAGAAACATTGATTTACACTGAGGAAAACCTCTTATACATATTGCTTTAAAGATATATTGAGTGCAACACTTAAGATGATATATATGAAAAGAACAACTTGAAATTATTTTGCTTGTAAAATGTTACTAAGATGTAGCCCCTTACAAACAGCATTGCATTCTCACTATGTTGTACATGGGGATGTCTGGCCAAAATGGTGAGATGGGATGGTGAGGTGCAGTTTTTTACTGCTTGGTTTTACAAGTCTTTTTATGTTTAATTTGTAGAATTAAGACAACAAGTGCACTTACCTGATCTGCAAATCCATTTAYGAGGGATAGATGGGGAGCTGGATATGTTGCAAAGATTTGTGCTGTGGCATTAGGTCCCGTGACTTCAAGCTTTCCATCGCTAAACTCCATAAGGGCACCTATAGAMAACAGCCAGTAAATACTTGCACTTCTCCATAAACATTTTTATGTTTTCTAGGATTAGAATATATGTGATAGGTCTGTGTATTTTACATTCTCAGTTGAAACTGATCTTTAAGGTCCCTTCCAACCCAAATAATTCTGTGATTCTCTGAAGCTTTTTTCTGGGAGTGCCATTATTGGATTTTAGGTGATGTACTCATCATACCTTCCTGTCTCATCTCTCCTCCTGTGCCTTGAATTACTCATTTTATGCATCATAGCTTTCCAAATGGGGCTCATTTTCCTCTGCTCATTGCTCCAAACTCAGTGCCAAGCATTTTGTGATTCTGAATACAGATGTATTACTGTGCAAGAGGTGCTACATTTTAAGTTTGTTTGATGATGACCCAAGAAATGCACAGCATCCTGACTGTTGGGAATTCCCTGCCACCAGGAATTACTGCTATTCCATTTGACAGTTGTGCAATTTTAGAAATAGAAAAATATTAAGAAGCAGCACTCAAATAATCATTAACAGACATGAGTAAGAAACTCCAATCCACTATTTTATTTGAAGATCTGGTGATGAGAAGATACTTGTAAATAAAGAACTAGCTCCCCATCTCTCACGGAAGTCATGGGGAGGGTGGTAAGCTCCTCCCGAAGCTAGAAGACAAACCTATTTCTCCTCATTTCTGTGTTTTCTAGCTTTGCCTAAAGCCTCAACATATGTGCAGAGAATTTTACTTGTTTACTTTGATCAGGGTCTCATTTGGAGTGTCATTCCACTGATGATAATTTTGTGGCATTTAACTGTTAAGGGGGGGAAAAAAGGATGAGATCTTACGCTTRTTCTTCTACTAGTGAGTTTTCAGTGGACCTCAATGAGTACATGACAATCCTACAACTTACAGGAAGAAAAATATACAGAGTAGGTTTGGGGATTAATAAGAGCAAGAGGAGGACACAGTACTGGAGCAAAGGCAGTGATATGAGAAAATCCTSTGCTCCTGAATATCAGGAATGTCACTAACCTATCCCTAAGTTTCCCATTTTGGCTCCCTATCCGACTGTTACTCTTTTGGTAGAATATGACTCCCCTTCAACCCGTGTGCATGTTGACACACTGCTGCATCCTGGCCACAGCCCTAATTCTGGCTGTCAGGCTTGAGGAGGACTTCAATTTRGGCAGAAATCTTGTTCTAGAATTCCAGTTTCCAAATTCTAACACTAACCTCAAAAAAAAACAAAAAAAAAAAACATCAAGCCCAAAACAGTCTTCATGGTTCCTAAAGATTTTCCTCTTCAGGATTACTGTGGGTACTGAGTACTGACCTGACAAAGGACATTTCCATTTTTATGCTTCCTCTGTTGCACCTAGACCCAGCACTGCCTGMAGACAGTGGGAACCCCTGGGAGAGAGATGTTGGAGGAGATGGGCTGAGCCAAGAGAAGCAGAGTTTTGGAGTGGGGATTGCAGAACTGATCTGACTGAACAGATTAATTCGGTCAATCAGTCTGTTACTGTTTTTTCCTTTTGTGGCATACTCTGCAAAAAAAGCGTGACTCAAGGATGGGGTAATTTTTTTCTTTTTCCCTGTTGAATATGTGACCTCTTTATCACTGTTCCTGGATGTCATTGCCTTGGAGAGCCACCCCTCTAGGGTGATCTGAGGTTTGGTCAGGAGGGACTTGATCTCATATCCTGTACCCTCAATGAACAATGTTGGTGATTCTTGCCTACAGGCACTTGTAGCAGGTCTTTAATGTTTCTAATTTGCTTGGAAGATGGATAGCCCTATGTCCTGACTATTAAGTAATTTGAGATCATGTATTTCTCAGTAAGGATTTCAGAGTATCTGATTTCCTATGAATAATTTTTCTAAATATCAGAACATTTCATGAAGTATTAAGTGTTTCAGTAAATTTGTAGGATACCTGGAATGTTCAAGCCATTGTTTTTCCCTTAAAACTCTTTACCCTTCTTCCTTTCTTCTTTATGGCTTTAGCTTCAGTCCGCCCATTAGCCCTGTGTGAACAAGAGTCCTCTGCCTGCTTGACATTCATTGAAAGATTGGGGCCTCAGAGACTGCCTGACCTCTAGTTTGTCCTGTGAACATGTCTAAGGTGTACTCACTGTAATAAATCCCAAAGACAGCCGCTGCTCCAACGAATGCTCCCAGGAGTTGTGCTAATATGTAAATTGGTAATTTGGTCCATTTTAATCTTCCAGTCACGCACATGGCTAATGAAACAGCTGGGTTTATGTGACCACCTGAAAAATAAATCACAAATTAAGTCACATGGATGACTCAGATACATGAGAATAGGTGAAGGATTTGTAAAAATGTGGGCTCTTTTGAACACAAGACTAGTACATGATTTTCTAGATGTTATTTTGCAGTTAAATGCTGACTGCAATTAAACTGAAATGAGTTGGATGAAATAAGAGGGAGGGTGAAAGCCACCAAGATCTATCTTTACACTTGATATTTTGGACTGTGCTATTTATCAGACTGCTGTCCTGCAATATGTAACTTATAGACAACTTTTCTAGAAAAMTACTAAATCTGCCCCTTTGATTGTGATGGGAGGGTCCCTTATTCTGCGCATGWTCTCTTTCCTCAAGGCCTTTGGCCTTTTATCTTTAAGGGAGGACTGGGGCAGCAGAACATTGTTTGTCTCACAAACACACATTATGATTAAGGACTGTTACTGGCTTGAGCATGTATTTCAAGACAGTTCTGGAGTGTCCTGGATTTAAGTCATGTTTGTGGTCCTGATTTCAGCCTGGGGTTACTTAGGAACTCAGTTTTCATGCAAACAAAATAAAATGATGTTAGGGCTGTCCAGCTTCATGTTGGCTGTTGGTGAGCTATGCCCAGATGCGCTCTGGTGCAGCAGTGTGTAGTCCTTTACCGTGTTTTTAGCTAGTTCTTGTGCTTTCCAGAAAGGTCCATGATAAGGAAACTGATAAAGCTACTGTGCTGAAACAGTTTCCTGTGGAACTTGCTTCCTTTTTATTCAGGAGTAGCTACACCTGAACTCATGCATAAAAAAGATTCCAGAAATGTTGGGATTCTCTGTGACAATCTGAGTTTCTAAAATATATTTATTATGTCATGTGGTAGGCTCTTCCCTCAATATCTTTTGTCARCAACAAAAAAATGTTTTAAGCGCTTTGAAAATTTTATTGTTTACAGCAACCCCCAAATTTTGCAAGGACATGGGATCCCTTGCTTATTTTCCAGGTAGTCTCATTTCAGTCTGTACGTATATCAGAAAAAATGGCCTTTGTCTTCGGTAAAATAACTGAAAGAGCATGTTAGTTATCTGCCAAAGGTTAGTGGTGGAGAAGGGGCCTCTATGTACAGTTTCTGTGTTTGTTTGCACTTCAGGTCAGTGAGTCATTATCTTATGAAATCCAGGCACCTTTGATACATAATGAACTGACAAACACAGATAACAAGCTGGATAAAACCTTCTTTGTATCATTGCCAAAACTCTGACCTAGTAGCACCAGTATTGAATTAAATGTTGAATTCCTCACTGTGTTTCACATTCTTCASCACAGAGAAAATAGATAGATGGCACTAGTTTAACAGCCTTTCATGTGAATTTTGATTAATTGTTGTCTTTTATTCCTTACTCTCTCTGGAATTAATAATTTTCCTTTCTTTCAACACCTGATTTTGTTCCCCACCTGTATATAATACAGGGTGACTATAATGGCCAGGACAAGTCATAATAATATTACAGATGGCTAATTAACATTAAATCTGGAAAGGAAAAGTCTAATTGRAGGGTGTTAAGCTGACACATAGGGGAGTTACAAGATTCTTGGTTCCTGTGCCACTGGTTTAAAAAAAGCCCTCCACTTTGGACAGGGTGTTCCCTATTCTTTCACAGCTGCAGTGATCACAGCCATGAGCTTGCAGTGCTAAGTTGGGAAAAGTGGTAAATTATCTTGATATTGAAGAAAACAGGATGGAGAAAAAAAAAGGGAAATTTTCCRAAGTAAAAAAAAAAGGCCAAAATTCACCAAGCATGCAGATGATGTATTTTGTTACCATTAATTTAGAATTTAAAAGAAAACTGATGCAAAATATTTTAGCTGTACTTAAACATGAGACTTTGGCCCAAGAGCCACAGAAATTGCTAACAAATTCTACAAAGGAACTTATATTCTAAAGTGTCCACTAGTAATTGTGTGTTGGATAGTAACAGCCTTGTTGAAATATGTGTTCCTATTCCTTCACAGAGAAAATGCACTGCATGCAGAATCCTTTGTCATGGGAAAASCACAGGAAGCACAATACTGCAACATCTGCAACTGCTCTGCCCTGCTGGGATTGAACTCTAATTTTCTACATAATGATGGCGATGAATAKCCCTTAAAGGTGCAAATGTAGGACAGGTCTTCACAGGTTAGTTTTCATGATACTGCATTAGAAGAGTTCACTGCTAAATGTAAGCTAAGAGCTGCAGTTTAAAGTTGTTCTGGTCATAGGAATGTACTGCTGAATTAATTTTRTGTGATACTAAGGAACAGTTCTGGTCTGTGTCAATGACAGTGACAAGACTGCCTGTTTTGTAGAACCTGGAGCRCTTTCTAATGTGAACCTTTCTAATGAAAACCTTCTAGTGCATAACACCCCTGTAAGAGAATTTGTAAAAGAGAAACGGACACAGTAATTTCTGCTACAGTAATTATTTATAATACCCTACTTATACCTACAGAAATTTGTCCAGACCAACCTTACCCTCTTTATGAAAGGTGAGAAATGTGTCCATGAGACTTGGAGTACCAGGGCACCATTTGCTTTAAAGGCCAATATAAACTGCATAAAACACAAAGTATTGTGTATTTTCATGCACAATATTGTGTGTTGTTACAACCCATAATTTTCTATTTTAAAGGAGGAATTTAACTGTTAAAAGCAGTTATGCTAATGTTTTTTATCTTAGTTTGGGCAAATTGACTGGTGGAACTAGGAGCCAAAGCAGCATCCAATATGGCTCTTGTGGACCCTGTGTAGCCCAGCAGGACYAAAGAGAGATTCCTGACCCTTACATCCTGGGGAAGTGTTACAGCAGAAATAAAGGGGAAAGGACAGTGCATTGTCCAGTGATACACTGTCAATGTTTCTCTGGTACTGAATCTTTCTGCTGTTTCTGCTTTCTATGATCTGCTGCTTCTGTGAATTCTGTGAATAATCAGACAGGAGCAGACTTGCTATTGCCTCACAGGATATGAAGAAATAAATTCTTCTCTGTAAGGTGAATCCTGTTCATYACACCCATTAGTGGGTCATTTTACTTTCTGTGAAACTGGCCACCATTTTATCTGGTGACTGCTAGGTTGCTCTTCATGGATATTTCTTTAAACACAGTGCCTGTGCTGTCCAGGATCATCTCTATTGATAGAATTTTCAAAGCAACACCAAGTAGATTTCTGGTTTGTACAGAATACTTCCCATAAAAGTCAGAGTTCTGCCTAGGTTTGCATACTGTAGTTGAGATCAGAGTCTGGTGGGAGGTTTTGTCAAACAAAATAGTAGAAGGAAATAAGAACACTCAAGATTTACTAACAAAACTGGTGTGGGCTCTGCTGTAACAGTGCTAACTGTTGCTGTCTTCATGATTGTTTTTACATGAAGTGGAAGCCATTTAACAAGGGAGCCTTAACACTGTAGAAATAAATACTATATAAGAAAAGTCACTTACCAGAAACGCCCCCAGACACATAGACTGCTATGGTGACTGCCATGGCAAATCCCACCGATACTGTCATGGGCCCTCCGTGCTCTCCCCGGCTGAGGACAGCCTGTCCCACACACCCACATCCAAGAGCCTGCATTTTGAAAGAGAAGTGTAAAATCACCAGTGTGTCTGTCCAATGTTATTGTTTGTGACTTCTGCTGCTGTTCTGGTGTAGCAGAAAATGTTGAATACTGAAACAGTGCTAGAATTTGTCATGTGTGCTTTGTTACCTTTGCTGCAATGCACATTYCCTTTTTATTTTCCTCGTCTTTGTCACGAGGAAGAATGAGGTCCTCTGCTAATGAGGACCCCTCTCCATACAGAAAGCCATTCCCAAGCACAATTATGGGCTATAGATCACAACTGGGAGCCYAAACAAGATCTCACAGTCTCTACAATAGAACAAAAAACTCTGCATCTGAAAGTGAAATTAATTCTGTATGGTAAGTTTTCAGTTCCAGATCGTCATAAGCAATGAAAAATTTACTGTAAACATTATGAAATATAGTTCAAAAAGCTTTTAATGTTCAATGCTGAAACTTTGGATTGAGACAACTTGGTAATTACAGTGTGTTATTGTTATGCTAATTTTATATCACATATTGCTCTAGCAAAATATTTCATTGGCTCTGCAGTTTGAACAAATAACTGAAATGGGGATATCTGAATAATTCACATTGGGGAATTCTAAATGGATTTAAACTAATTTCGGGTTTTTGTTGCTTCTTCACAGAATAAAGTTCAGCAACACATTTAAATATTTGCTTAAGATGATGTTTATTCAGCTCTAAAGCCTCTGCTTAGCTTCAAGCATATGTTTAGGTCCTTTTAAAGTTGATAGGAAAGACATTCCAAGGTACAAAAACATYTTAATTTGAGGTAGAGTAGCTGATCCATTACTGTATCTTTCAAAATCTGCTTTTAAAATATATGCCTATGTGCTCTGCTGACCAAGAACCTGACACTCTATGGAAGCTCTCAAATAATATCTATAGTCTGAAAACTTTTGCCTCTCTGCAGTGGTGTGAACTAYACCATTTCTGGAGATGTAGCTAGATTGATCTTGAGCAACCTTAATTGCTTATTTTCAGTTGCAAGGCAGCTGAATTCAGAAACTGCAAAGCAATGGGAAAATCTCTCTTGCCTTGGAAATAGGCTGTACCAAAAARATTAGTTGATTGACATTTTACAGGCAACTCTACTAGAATAGATGCAATTTAAACAGGCAAACTCATACTTTTGTTTCCATTATTTCCCCAWGGGTTTTGGCTAATACCAAAATGTGACAGAAAAGCTCTCAACAAAATTACACTCCTAACCAGCTCTGTAATGCAGACAGTGTTTCTGTTATAAGTGTCCCGAGACTGTGTCATATACCCAGGTTCAGTTCTTGCCTTGAGGTCACAATCATGTAAGCAAACAAAACATTGTCTGGTGCCAGAGTGTTACAGCTCTGGTTACGTAAGGGTAGGGTGGTGTTAGATAGCTGCAGTTTATTGGACTGTATAATKAAAAGCTGCAGGACACAGTGCAAGCTGCAGTCAGCTGCTGTGCAATGGATGACACACGTTTGCATCTTAACCACGCTATYGCTGCTCCATCATACACCCAGCAATGCACGTGGTCAGCACTAATGCACCTACAGATAGCAAACAAAATCAGATACACTGGAGTTGTTCACAACTGCAATTAGATGGGTTTTAAAAAACTCATATGAGACAATTCATAATGCATTTGTATGTTTATGTGGAAAGAATGGGTGTGCTGGAATTCATTATGTTTAAGATAAGAATGTAGAGGAGGTGGAATTAGCACACTATAGTCATCACTTTCCAGATTTCTCAAAGGGAGTATTCCTTTCCCCAGAAACTGCACCAAGTAACATTTTGTGAAAGGTATGACTCAGATGAGGAGCAAGCTCAGTATGCTGCTCTGTGCCCCTACACATGCTAGGGTGCAGGCTGAGCTGGCTGCCTGAATTCAATCTACAAGTAGAGTGTGCACTTGTGCTCTGAAATGGCATAGGCAAAGTTTTGCAGATTCAAAGAAAAAGCCATTCTTTTAAAAACATTACCCCTTTCTGTAAGGATGATGAAAAAAGAGAACGTGAGTAGAGGAGATGATTATAAAAAAGGATAGGAGAGGGCAACATCTGTGTCTATCAACTACAAATTCACAAGAGAAGGGAAGGAAATAACAGAGGAAGGCTGTGGCCTCCCTTCCTTGATTACCAGAGCTGAGGGGAGTCATACAGAAACAGCTGTGTCGTTCTCCTGTGTAGCAGCTCCTGCTCTGCAGGTCTTAGCAAAGTACACACCTACAGATGCTCCATTTCTGTGCTAACCAGTCTCAGAAAACACTACAGAGAATTCACACAAGCCAGCTGGAACACAGCTGTACTCAGTGAACCTGCTCACGTACAATGACTGAACACTATTGCAGGCASTCAGTATGTGCCAATACAGGGCTGGGACAACTGGGAACTGAGCCTGCAAATCTGAGCCATGTCACTGTAATATTTTCTCCATTTGCTGACCTTTTAAGACGGAAAGAAAAGTTGCCTCACCTAATGTAGCTAGGCTGGCACAACTGGAAACCATCACCTAATCATGTAATTACATGAACAGCAATTTAATACCTTGTAAGTCTTTGCTTGACTGAGTTAAAGCCAACTAGATAATCAAGTTGTAACTAAATATTCTAGGATTTTAGGCCAAGCTCTGCCATCAATTGCACCCACGAAACTCAATGGGAGTTTAATTTACTGTACAATATAGCCAGATCTCTTCATCTTATCTTGTCTATCTTATGTTACCAGGTTTTCCTTTTAGCAGTTTTCTATAGCCTGATCTGCTTAAATTTACTGGAGTAGTTTCAGCCCTGACTTCATGAACAAAAAAAAAGTAATTCATTTACTGTCATAAAGAATGTGTTTGGGTGTGGAATACCTGTCTGAACCTTCTCTGCTGAAAAAAACTTGCTTCATGGCCCATTAGATCCTTCTCTTGTCTTGGATAACAAGGCTAATGTCAGAAAAGGAAAACAACTGGCTTTCAATGGACATAAGGTCCTGTAACTGCCKGGAAGCTTGCAGGACTTTCTGTATCTAACTCATCAGAGAGACTAAAGATCATTTTGCCTCCATCTTAATATTTTCTGGATTTTTCCAAAAGTTTGTAATGGCATTTTTCAGTGAAAATAGGATTTCTGTAAGATCTATTTCTCTACGTGGCCAGTAAAGCTTCAGACATCTTAAAGCAGAATGCTTATATAAAAAAAAAAGCCCCCTTCTTATCACACAGCCCTAGAGGTGCTATGCATTTACAGCCAGGCACTCTGACTGTCACATTAGGGAAGCACCCAAGTCTCTTGTTTGTTAGCAGTGTGGAGACAATGAACTGTGCCTTGTGATACCCTGGACATCACCAGCTCTGGCTGTGCTGGGTCACTGCTGCAGTGGGCTTCCACAGGTGTCCTTGCAGGCAGTGTGGCCTCGGTGGCTGCACAGCTGATGTACCCTTTCAAACAGGAAATGCTAGAAAAATACTTCAGAATTTCAAGTTTAGTCAATTTTCAGGACAGAATTGTACTTCAATAATCAYAGCTAATTAAAAAGACTCTCTGAGGATGCCTCCACCAGCTGACAATTTTCTGTAAGGTTGCCTCTGTTCAGGTAAGGCAGAAATCCTKCTTCTTCCCCATGCCAAGCTTCCACCTCTGTTCCCCACTGTTCTGCAGACAGGCATTTCCAGGTGACAAGTGACAGCCTGTCACTTGTCCCCTCCTGTTGTTAAGCCTGACCAGGCCCACTGTGCTGTGCTGGTTGTGCCACACGTGCCTTTGTCCCTGCACAGAGCTGTGACAGGGTGCCACACGTGCCTTTGTCCCTGCACAGAGCTGTGACAGGGTGCCACAGGTGCCTTTGTCCCTGCACAGAGCTGTGACAGGGTGCCACAGGTGCCTTTGTCCCTGCACAGAGCTGTGACAGGGATGGGGTCTCAGGCTGTGCAGTATATCAGGCTCAGGCCGTGTCCCTCCCTCTGCTGTCCTAAACCTGTCCGTCCCCAGCCTGTGGGAGCTCGGTGATACTGCTGGGACACTGGAGGATGTGAGAGGAAGCCCTGGCTCACTTCTTAGGGAAACCTCCATGACTTCTCCAAGCAGCCAGACTTAGCACTACATATTAGTCCCTTAAAAGCAAGAGTACAGGCTGGAAGAATCAGAGAATCCTTTTGGTTGGGAAAAGTGGTTGCATTTGTCCTCCTCTGCAGGTAGGGATCTCTGTGACCAAAATTGTCAATCAAAACTTCACAGCATTGTTCATGGTATACATGGTGTACTTCAGTCTTGYGCAGTTCCCCTACCTAACATTAATATTTCCAAATAGGATTAGCTACTTATAAAAGTAGTAAATAAACCTTTGAGTTTGAAGTATGCTAAATTGGTGGTGCCTTCCTAACTCTATTTCATTTCCACCCCCTTCATTTACAAAGTAAGTCTGCTTGAGAATTTACCTATTGAATTTCATAATAAGATGTTTTATAATGTTAGAAACTCTTTCCACAGAGAGATGTATTTTTGCTGTGTTTGTGTATTACAAGGGATCTTAATTCAGACAGGGCTCCTAGGCATTCTTTCAATAGGTACTGTAATGCTAAAATCAACAAAAACAGAGACATGTTAGATCTTTTAAAATTCAAGGCATTAGCTCTGCAAGAATTCAAGTTACAGGAAACTCCTTTCAGAAAAGACCAGTCCTCATCCAATTTAATGTTTAATATTTGCTATATTTTGTTAAATCAGAGAGTGTTTTAAGCTTTTAAAGAGGAGATAAAAATACAGCTTACCAGTCAAGTAATTTTAAAATACTTTAAAAGCACATGGCTCTTATTTTATCATTAGAGAAATGTTTTGGTGGGGTGAGGAGTTTTTTCTGTATGTTACAATTTAATCAAGCTTAGAGCAATAAAAAAATCACTATATCCATTCTCCTGATGATCTCCTGGGAAACAACCAATATCCTCTTGGGTTCAGGTRGATTTTTTTTTTCCCASACTTSGTATCTAATAAACAAGGGGTGAAAAAAACCCC